CCGACCTGCACTGTCGGTAACTTTACACCTGTTTTGCACCTGTACCAGTACTGTTTGCATTTCCTTTTCCTTTTAATATATTTATATTTTAATTTTTTTATTTCACGGTAGCTGAAATGGAAGTCCCAAAAATCTCATTGTATCCGTTGTAGAATATGATGACAATAAAGGCTTTTTAACTTCTTTTTTTTTAACTTAACTCAAGTTAAAGTTTCTTATTTTGATTCTGTAGTTCCATCATCTGTTTCTTTGTCTTGAATCATATTTTTGGTAATTATTATTACACATGGACTATATTTGCATATATATTTGCATATCCTGTGTATTTCCATGTTCAGTTTTTTTATATTCCAGCCAATATATTGAATATAATTGTTTTAACCCCCCCAGTATCTATATTGGTGTGTTGTTCAGGCTCTATTGATTCGGAAGCAGCAGAATTTATGAACTCACAGAGGGAACGAGCTGCTGGATGATCTGATAGAGGAGCTCTGTGTACGAGGAGACGGTGGGACAGCCACTCAGGTTCAAGGTGAACTTCCCCAGCGGCAGGACGTCTCTCCTGGAGTACCTGTGGCAGCGGGAAGAACGGCAGATTCACCACGAGGCTCCATGCGGCTGTGGATGCTGGGAGCTAACCTGGACCTACACGGTGGAGATGAGATGGAGGAGGAGATACTCGGCGGCCAGAGCGTCTCCCAGGAGGACGTGGGTGAAGTAGGAGAGCAACTCTGCCCTGACGGCGGCCATCTCCCCCAGAGTCGATGAGAAAACTGCAGAGAGGATAGAGAGGGTTTCTATGGCAACACCAAATATATCCGATTGTGAAAAACATTTCCTCTGCTGCAATGGAAAACAACAGAGCTTTCCTTTAAGGTTCAATGATCCGATTGGCCCTGATGATCCCCGCCTTCTTAACGGCTGGTTATCCTCCCACAGCAGTGTCTCGCAGTGAGTTTGTTGCAGATATTTTGATTTATGCCCACTATTGAAGCGTGGTCTGCTCCATGTTATTCCATGCAACAATGCAAGAGGGACAATCAGGAACTACCTGTGGGTCTAAATACGGAGTATGACATCATCTGCACGCTGGACTGGAGTTGTGACAGGCAGCCCGGGCCACAGGCGGCTACGCTCTACCCCTTCTATTCATTCAGCGAGCTAATCTAAATCGTTCGATTCCATTTTAAGAGCGAAATCATCTGTAGCAGCACTAGACATCTTCCAGGCATGTGAGGAAAACTAGCAGCAGTTCAGCGGACAGGATGAATGAACGGTAGCCGGCGTGTGGATGGCGTCATACACACTCCGCTTTGTTTAAAAAATATATAAATATAAAAAATATAACCGTGGATGTCTGGGGGACAGTGATTCGCCTACATGTTATGAATGCTGGCGTACCATAAAGAATAAATGATCAACAGTTTAGTTTGTGCCTTCAACTCGTTGCTCATAGGAAGACGTTACTTAGATATAACCTAACGGAATATCTTCAGAACGGCTCCACATGACACAAAACTCATATGGGTGAGTAGAACATGATGGAATAACGTAAAATCAAGGGCGTTCCCTTTTAATGTTTCATCAGATAATTTTAAGCCCGTTACAAACATTCAATCATGACCCTGGACGGATGGTATGTAGTTGTTAATGTTCAGCAGACCAATGAAAATGCGTCGTCGCTCCCCCCCCCAGAGGTGGAGAGACCGTCATCATTAAAATACAATTTGAAAGACAGAAATTTATCACACACAATAATTTGGATTATTGCTCAGTGGCGCAGTGGGTAGCACTGCTCCCTTGCAGCAAGAAGTTCGATTCCCGGTATTTTTACATGGAGTTTGCATGTTCTCCCTGAGCGTGCGTGGGTTCTCTCCAGGTACTCCGGCTTCCTCCCACAGTCCAAAAACATGACCTTTAGGTTAATTGGCTTCTCTAAATTCTCCTTAGTTGTGAGTGAATGACTGTTTGTCTCTATGTTGCTCTGCAATGGACTGGCGACCTGCCCAGGGTGGACCCCGCCTCTCGCCCACTGACAGCTGGAGATAGGCACCGGCACCCCTCAGGATCCCAGCAGGGATAAGCATGAAGGAAAACTGATATTTCTGTGTGATTTTGTCGGTAACACATTCAACTTTGTAAAGAAAAAAGCATTCAATGAGAATATTTCATTCAGACCTAGGATGTGTTATTTACATTTTTTTTTTTTAGCAGTGTGATATTTCCCTTTATCTTGGTAAATATAAATAAATCAATCATTCCTTTCCTTTTCATCAGAGACATAATAAAACCTTTGCATCAAATCTTTGGAGCTTGACTGAATTTCTGAATTTAATCAAAACATGGATTCTTTGTCAAATTTCCAACAAACTATAAAACTCAAGTTAAAGAGACTAATAAAAAGCCTTTGGAGCGCACAGCTGCCCGTCTCTACCTGCTGCCTTCACTGATGTTACTAATTCAACCCATCAGAAACTCGGCTGCCTCTCAATGTGTGACAGACGAGGACATCGCTGAACCTGTTAAAATATGGGCAGTGCAACAGGAAGACGGGCACATCTGTTGGCACCCCTTGTAAAAATATGTAAAAAGACTTAAAATTCATCTTTGACTGCAGCAGAAGAATCTCACTCTGAAAAATATTTTTAAAAAAGCACAAAATCAGAGCTGCAGAGCTACATCCTCTAGTCTCTCAGAGTCGAGAGCAGAGGTCAACAGAAGCAGGTTTTTAAGGCTGATATTTAATACCAACAGTGCAGCTGTGATCGATAATCTCTGAAAACCACAAACATTTGTAGCTGTACAGTGGATTAGGGCCACTGAA